CATTATATATGTATATAGATTATTGCTATTTTGAAATAAGTTCTTAAACTTATTTTTATTAGAACAGTAAATAAAAACGTAAAGCAAACAATTATCTCTTCTAGTTACAACTTTTGTACTAAGTTGCTGCTTGGTGTAGGTTACTAAGCCTTTAAAATTCATGTCATATATAGAAGTAAGTGTATATAAGGGAATGTGTCCAAAAATGGAAAGAGGTGGGTGGGTACCATTGTGTTTGATTTATTACATGCTTAACAAATATAAAAGATAAGATGTTCTTATTTTATATTATAGCTTGTCAATATCGGTAATTTGAGTTTCTAATTTGTACAAAAGTATACTTAGTATTTTGAATTCACAAACATCTAATTTGAACCAGTGCTGTTTTCAATATACCACGTCACACACAAAAATCAATGTTTATCTGTGTTTTTTAGTATTTACTTTTAAATTAAGAAGTTGAGTAATGTATAGTACTAAAATTTAAATTATAGTCTATAGTTTGATACCAAACTTATTGACATAATTTCATGAAATAGTAGTTTAATAAAATTTTGAATGTGAGTCAACAAACAAGATGACATCATCTTTCACCTGTGACCCGTCTCGAAAGGGTTAACATTGTTTAACACAAGGAAAATCTTGTTTCACTAACCTTTTAGCAATCTTTGAAATGGTTACTGCTCACGTATATAAGGCTATGGTAGTGAACATGGTATATGTGGATTTTCAGACAAGATGTTACATAAAAAGTTTGTTTAAAAACTCATCTACAGGGGTGAGTTATAATTTGGCCCACTGCATGGAGAAATGGCTGAATGAAAAAAAAACAGAGGGTTGTTATAAATGGAATTCAGTCAAACTGAATTGGTGTCATAAATCAATGGGAATAAAAATCATATTTCTTGATTTAACTTGATTTAAGAAATACTAAATAAAGTGTAAAGAGGCTATAATTTCATTGTATAGGCCACTGGTTAGGCCTCATTTGGAGAACTGTGTTCAGTCTTGGGCTCCTTACCTTATGAATGACACTAAATTTTTGGAAAAGGTTTAGAAGAGGGTTAGTAGGATGATACCTGGGATGGGAAGGCTGTCATACAAGGACAGGTCAGGCTATCTGAAATGGTTTTCTCTTGAAAAAAGAAAAGTTAGAGGATCTGATTGAAGTGTTTAAGATTGTTAAGGGAATTGCTGGTGTCAATGTATCATCTTTTTTTTTATACTTAATGATGAGAATGGTAAGACTAGAAGACACAAATACAAATTTTGGCAAGCTAAGACAAATTTATCTTTCTAACAGGATAGTTAGCTTTTGGAATTGGTTACCTTCACATGTGATGGATTCAGTAAATTTATGTGAGCTTAAGAGAATGCTTGAAAAATATTTAACTGATAAGGGCTGGTTTTTGTGTTACTTCTTAATCCTCAAACAATCCTAGCAAAGTGTAAAGGGGAAGTTTTATTATTTTTCATAATTCTCTTAATGTTGGAGAAATTTCTGATGATAGGAAGATTATCAAGTGATATTTTTAGAAACAAAGCAAGTTTATTTAGCCCATCTAGTTAACTACTACTAAACCAAATTACATTAGATTTGTCATCTATATTACTTTTTTAATGTATAAAAAAAATTCAAACTAGCTGGATAAACCATACAATAACACAAACAATACAACAAGTTTGTAATTAGAGAAAATTTGTCAAGAGAGGGCCTGGAAAACTACAAACCTATAATTTTTAAGGTTGTATAGCGAAACACGAAGTAAATTAATAAGATATGAATTGTGAATATGGGAGATACAAGTAACCTGATTAAATACATAAGAAATGAGAAAGTTCATTATTTATGGTGACTAATGAATCATTCCTAAAACTGCAACTATGAATTGTTAGTGATGTTTCAATTCCAACTGAAATTATTTTTCAGAGTACAAGTACAGCAATTAATATTCTCTGCCTTCTATATCAATATATTCTATGTTAAAACAAAGAATATAAAATCCCATATACTAGGGCCTAGTTAACCCAAACTCGCAGGTTCCATACACACAAAAATGTTGGGACGCATGGGATTTGATCCCCAGAGTACTGAATATGCAACACAAAATGCCCCATATACAAGGCAAACACAAGTATTTTGCTTCAAACTTTGTACCATAACAAACTAAACAGCATACAGTTTGCACTAAGCTGTCCACAATCAACTTCTAACAGGTGTCATGAATGACAATAAATAGAACAAAAATTAATCACGTGAAAGAACCACATGATTAACCCTTTCACCTGAGATAGGTCAGAGTTACATTCAAAATTTAATTAAACTACTTTATTATCAATGTACATTAATAAACTCAGCATCAGAATGTAGATAATAAATCAAGGTTTAGCATTATTTAAGTTTTAAGTTCTTAATTTTATAAGGAAATATGTTTTTTAAATTCTCAATCTCCTCTAGTATGAGAACTGACATTTGTTATCTATGTCTTCCCTCTTCTCTAATTTTTTACCACTCCTCTGAGAAGTATGAAATTTAATATAAATTATTCAATATAATGTTGTCATCACTCAGGCAATGCATAATTTACATAGCCTTCAAATCTTATTTAGTTACAGAGCAATAAAATAGAAAATGAGATCCCTCTTGCCATGCTCATCTGTAACATCCTGTCTTTCAGAACTTGCCAACAGTTCTGTCTCACATTTAAGACTATATTATTTATAACCAAAAGAAGCCAACATTTTTCTCTATCTCATTGCCTGTACAGAGAATTGTCTATTTTCCTTCTAGTTCAAACTTTACTCTCATGAGAAGCACATCAACGAGCTTAGCTGAATTTTTAATAGTTTTAGTTTCACAGTTAGAAAGCCAGAAAAATTGTGATAGTTATGGAACATTGTTTCCTTTTTCAAGTTTTTGCATGTTATTATTCCATATTCTTTGGTGCATTATTTAATTAAATAGAAATTATTTAATGCAGTAGTACAATTAGTATAAAAAGTCGGGTTAAATTTCATTGACAGTTGAGAGAAAAAAACAACAACCAGGTAGATAATTAATTTCTTGTTTTTCATGTGTATTTTTTATTTAAAAGTAACTAAAATGTAAAAATTGAAAACTTTTTAAGTTAGATAAAGTAAAATAAAAAATAATATCATTAACAATTTTTCTATGAGGTATGCTTGCAAATGCAAATTTGTGCATTATGTAATTTGATACTGTAATGTGAGCTGCACCTTTGGCATGAATAGTAGTTATACATGATTCAAAGGGCAATAAAACAATAAAATGTATAAATAGATGTATACTGTTACAAGCTTTAAGTTCCTTAGGATAAACAATTCTGGTTTTCTGTTACAATTTGCAGTCATTCCAGAAAGAAAAGAGGGGAATTTAGAATTATTTCCTAATTTTTTATGGTGGTTATGAGGTCATTCAAATCAACCAACCTCATACAGAGTTAAGGTAAGAAAAATAAATTATAAAACATAAAAGTTTTCTGGAAAAACATATGATATTAATTTAGGAGGTTTTAGGGGTAATGCAAATATTTGAAGATTTTCATATGAAGAAAAGTATTTTTAATCTTATCATAAAAATTACTTTGCACTAATAATGGGAAACAACATGCAGTGTGAATTCTAAATAAAATTTTTCATTGAACATTAACATGCTCTTTTCCACTTGCATATGATAAATGTTGTGTACATTGTAAATAAAGTTTTTCATTGACACTGAAGTCCTTTTTTCCTTTTTTTTCAGTTTATTAAATTCTACCTATGGGACCCTTGAAAAAGAAAGTTGAGAGTTAAGATTAAAAGTAACTCATGATATACGTAAATCTTATTTTACTGATTTCTCTCAAGGTTTGGTTGGATAAGATTACAGAAGAAAAAGATTTCACCTTACTCTTCTATTATATTCAATGTAAAATATTTCAGAGAATTAATCAGTTAATTTACCAACATCATATATCTTTTAAGTTCTTACACAAGGAATTACAGTGCTGGCAAACAGTGCAAAATACATCTCATCTTATGAATTAAGTCAATTATAATTTACTAGATTCTTAGCACATTTTATATGTACCTGCTAGTCACTACAGGTAGACAAACTTATATAGTTGCAAAAAATATCCCTTCAAAACAAAGAATTAACTTAGAATTAAACTAAGCCAACTGAAGTATGCATAACTAAAGTGAACTTTTAATATATTTTTTTTTATATTTTAATAATTGCCAGACATATTTACTTGAATGTAACAGGTAAAGTACTAATACATGCACACAGTACTTACCATATAATGAAGTCCATTCTGCTTCCTCACAGCATCCACCGGTGCACTGTAATTACAGTCTTCAACAAATGTTTTCTTCATTTGATAATGATTACATGCACCGAGTGGCTCTGCATAAATATGCTCATCACTGAAATGTCTTTTTAGTGTTCCATAATGTTTTGGTGGACTAACTGTAGTTGGTGTTAAATCTATAAAAATCTTCAAATCGTTTTGATTTGCATTATTATATACTCGACTATGTGAATTTGAATTGGTTCTAGATGAGGTAGATCTGTTCTTTGAAGGTAAATGGTGAGACACAGCATATGGCTCAATCCCATCCTGAAACACTGAAAATTTTGCAAAAGACCTTCCTTGATACTGTTTTTCCTCCTTTTGTGGGCTGACTGGACTGCAAGTTAAAGCTTTATCATCACAGTATAACTCAGCATTCATAGGCAAACACACCCCCTCATCTTCTGAATAAACAAATTTAGATGGTTTTGGTGGAGTGACAGGTTTCTGCTTTGCCACATGTTTAATGTGATTTCCTTTGGCAAAATCATCTGTAAATTTGTGTTTTTTTTTAGTGACACTTAATACCCTTTCCCTTTTGATTTCCTCTTCATGTTCCAGGTTTTCAAACCTAAAAGCTGTTGATTTTATCTTACTTTCTTTGTATATGTCATGTGCAAATGTTCGTGGAGGTTTTGATGGAGGGAAGCCTTTATTCTTTCTCAATGCCATTTGTGTTCCCTTTAGAGAAGAGTTTGCATTGTCCTCTTTTGAATCTAATGTTTGTTTTTTAATGGCACCTTTGAAAGTATTTTGTAAATCTCTATTAGCCTCTCGATTATTAACATTTTGTTTTTGAAATATGGAAATAAAGTGGCTTGAAATTCCTGTTTTATCTTGGTTTTTTTCATATTTATGATTGTACTGTCTTTTTTCTCTAGTAGTTTCTTCTGATTTTGGCTCTAAACTGGAATAAGATGTGGTTAACTTCTGTAAACTATAATCACAATTTTTAGTATCTTTACAGCCTACTTCCAACTGTTTTACATTGTTAGTTTTATGATTATGATTTATCCTGTTAACAGTCACCTGATCCATACACACACTACTAACATAGTTACTTTGTTGCTCTTTTTTTTCATTTTGTGGTGGAATATTTAGAGAACCAGATTTTGCTAATTTGTCAAATGTTACATTAGTTGCTTCACTTTCTTCTCCAATTACATTAGAACAATCTTTACTTTTGCTGTGTTGCCCTGAACGACTCTTTACATTTTGATGCTGGATATTTTTACAATCAACCTCATCATAATGTACATTTTTCACATCAAATTTCATTTCACTGGTACACACTGAACCCTTTCCATTACTTATGTCTGAACTTTCAAATCTTTCACACATTCTTTGGACAAGTGGAGAACATTTCTTTTTTTTTTCCTGAGTTGAAAGCTCCATTGCTTTATGAGAATCTAAAGCAGGTCTTTCTTTGTGTTGAAATTTTGAATCATTGTCTGCATCACTTTCTTCTTTTAAACTGTTGACTAAAAGCTTATGTCTTCTTCTACGATATGGCACAGGTGGGATGACAGATTTCTCATTCATCTTGTTAAAATATATTCAATTAAATACATAAAATAAAAATACATTAATACTATTTGATAGTATTAATAATGATGAAAGTGCTAGGAGATATATGAAATATATGCATCATCAGATCAAATACGACAAATACTTTGTTAAATATTAAAAAGCCAATTGGTAAAACAATTAAAAAAATGTCATAATAAAATTATAAGTCTTATAATTTACAAAAAAAGAAAAAAAAAAGGGATTCATACTTAACTAGTTTTGAAAAAGTTTTCTAAAAGTTACAATTTAAAATCAAATGGGAATCTCTCTCAGCCTAGCTTTCTCAAAATCTTTAACGTAATTTAAGTTTTACTTACAACGTAACAAAAAAAAGAAACAGCCTTGCATTGCTCATAAAATGATTAACATTACAATTCAGTGTAATATTGCATAAAACAAACAAATATGGTCAACAAACTTTACAATGCCATATGCCTCTCTAGATTGTTGTATCATGTCTCTGATGTTTGGAAAACAAAATAACCTAATGTTATTCGTTTTAAGTCTAGTTATCATACAATGTTGGGGCATGTTACTATTTTGTTAGTAAAACTGTAGCCTAATACTGTGAGTAATAGCAATACAAAACTGTGGGTACATAATACACCCATGTTGGTATTGGTAATAAAGGGGTTAATAAATTACAAGTATGATGTGGTAATGGCATTGGCAGATCATGAAGTGTTACTATTCATATTGCCGATTGCATTAACTTTTAAGTTACTTCTAATTAGTCGCAATATAAGTAATATCCAACGCTTAACATTAACAACTCAAATAACAGTTATTCCTTCGAATCTAATAATATTAATAGTAATATTACTACTAGTACTAATTAACCCTATATGATAAGAACACGAAATAAATTAATGTCTACCATCGTTAGACATTACTCTAATTCGAAAATTTAACTCTATTCTCACTAGCAACACTGCTAGCAGTACTAATAATTAATATGGTAGTGCTGGCTACTGTGCTAATCTGTAAAGTGTAATTTTGGAATCAACTTCAGTTCAACGTTCAATTTCAAAATCAAATACAGATATTCTGTAAACTACTCATAATACCTAGTAGTATCACCTTTATTTCCAGTTAAACTGACTCAGTTGTGATTTTCAACGAGCAAAATTCGCTTTATTTTGTTCACATTACACCTACTCTATGACACGGTTTCAAATACCACTTTAAAGTTAAAAACTAAAAAGTACAGTAGACCCACAAACAACCCTAATTCTCTATTCAGTTTGTTTTACCGGTGTATCAAACATGTTTACAGATGTCGCCCTGAAACTCATAACTATTTAAGACTTTAAACCATTTACTCGACTGAAGTAACTCAGTTTGTTGCATTTTTAATATCCTATGCATGTTTAAATATATTCTAACAGTGATAATATGCACAGCAATTATGTTATTAAACACACCTTTATCTTTAAACTTCCTTTTGTACGTAATCCAAACCTTTACTGATCAGCGGCGATTCTTCGTTATAAAAAATATAATTTACTATTATTATTAGAACTAGTTGATATAAAAGACGTAAAAAGACCAAAATCCGTTTACATGTATTCAGCATCAAATTGTTTTCTTCTCTTTGTTTCTTCAAGAGCTTCATTTGACTGTTTCAATTTTTACTCTCTGCTAATTTTTGCTAAATTTTCTTGATTTTGTAGTGTCATCCATTTTTATTCTCTTTCTCTTGCTAAACACGTTTATTTTTCTCCTGCATTGTTACTGAACTATTTTTAGTTTTAGTTAGAATTTTAGTTTAGAATTTATTTCATAGATAGTATTAGAAGTGATCAATTGAAATGAAAACTGAGATGACTTGATGCTGTAAACATATATTTTAATTCAAATGTTAACCATTATCTCACGTCACTGATTTAATATATAACGGAATTGAAAGAGCCTGTTGAAAATATGATCGTTTACAAAACATAAAATCCCCACTCAACTAGGATTTCAACGTAAGAGTTCTAAATACTGGTCAATTAGCTTTTTCTTTATTAATTCACCCTCATAGAGAGGGTATAAACAAAAATACATCAATGTTTCAAGACATCTCATGAACATGACTGTAAATATCTGAATAGTAAAAAATAATAGTTAAGGATTGTTTATTTGTTTTTGAATTTCGCACAAAGCTACACGAGGGCTATCTGCGCTAGCCGTCCCTAATTTAGCAGTGTAAGGCTAGAGGGACGGCAGTTAGTCATTATCACCCACCGTCAACTCTTAGGATAATCTTTTACCAACGAATAGTGGGATTGATCCTCACGTTATAACGCTACCACGGGTGAAATGTTGAGCATGTTTGGTGGGACGGGGATTCGAACCCGCGACCCTTAGATTTAAAGTACATACACAGGAAATTAGAAGTAACAAACAAAATAAAAATATTACTATACATAATGTTACGACAGCGGTAGTCACGTGACCTGGTAACACGTCATGAGTTTCTAGAAGGATCATCACTTTTCCTGGCAACTCTAGTCTTTTCCAGGCGCCCTCTATTTTAGTATATAAGCCCGGCAAATAAAGCGGAGATGGGGGGAGACAGATAATCGAGTCAAGTCATAAGTAAAATGCGTGAATCGTTGTGAATTATAGCGTATGTTTAAGTGACTGTGGAAATTAAGTGTATTGCAAAGTTGTATTGAGAAAGAATAAACTGGTTTTAATTAGGAAGGGACTTGTGTCGCGGAGGTTTCTCGGAGGGAGCTTTAACGGGAAATTGTCAAACAAGCAGATACGTAACAGATTGGTGTCAGAAGTGGGATCGATACAAAAAGAGAAAAAAAGATGGAAACGAGAGTGCCAAATCAAACTACAGCTTAGCAGATTTGATGGCAGCAATACAAGAACAGCAAAAGAAACAAGAAGAACGATAAAAAAAAACAAGAAGAGAGATTACAGCAGTTGTTGGAGGAAAAAGAAAAGAAACAAGAAGAGAGACAACAGCAGTGGCAAGAAAACCAGCAACAGTGGTAGCTTGAACAGCAAAATAAACAAGAGAGACTACAGCAGTGGTTGGAGGAGAAATAAAATGAATAAAATAAGAGATTACAGAAGCCAAGTAGGCCCAGCATGGCCAGGTGGTTAGGGTGCAAGACTCACAATCTGAGGGTCCCGGGTTTGAATTCCCAATCACACCAAACATGTTCGCCCTTTCAGCCGTGGGGGGCATTATAAAGTGATGGTCAATCCCACTATTCGTTGGTAAAAGAGTAGCCGAAGAGTTGGCAGTGATGACTAGCTGCCTTCCCTCTAGTCTTACACTGCTAAATTAGGGATGGCTAATGTGTAGCTTTGCGAGAAATTCAAAAACAAAACAAAAAAAACACATCTGAGAGATGATCCATTATGTTATATGGGCCTTTCCATGGAGAATACAACTTAGGAGAGTTCTCTTTGGTCTTCCTGGGATTATACAACCACACCTTGTCTCTTGGTACAAAGCTGACTTCAGTAGATTTCTTATCATAACAAAGCTTCATGGAATCAGCAGACGTTTTCAAGTTTGAACACACTTGATGATGAATATCATCCAACCTTTTAGATAACACTTTCACGAACATTTTCAGGCAACGCTTCGTCTTGTTATCAGATCCACTGGCAAACGAAGTTCCCGACCAAACATCAGCTTTGCTGGTGTGTATCCAGTGGCTTTATGCTCTGGTGTTCTATACGTCATCAACAGTGGAGGAAGTAACACATCCCAGTCATCTTGGCAGCTATTACAAAACTTTGCCAATTTCTGCCCAAATGTCCAATTGTTCTTTTCTACCATTCCATTAGACTGTGGGTGAAGTGACGTTGTTGTGGTCTTTCGAATGCCAAACAACTTGCAGCATGGAACACAGCTGATTCAAAGTTATGGCTGTGATCCGAATGCAGTTCGTATGACATACCAAATCTGAAGAAGAAATTACTAATAGCCAAAATTATAGTTGTAGCTTCCTGATTTGGTATTGCAAATGCCTCAGGCCACTTGGTGAAATAA